GCCCCAACTCACAGGCCAAACGACGGGACGAGACCAACCAGGATATCAAAACATTCTTGTCTGCAAAGAAAACAAAAAGAAAGGCTCCGATCCCAATGTGACAACCAAAAAGAAAGAGAAGACAATCCCGGATGACGATTCCCACATACTCAAAAGGCCGAACAACGGGAAACAATGGCCGAACAACGAGAAACAACGGCCTGACAACGGGAAACAACAGTCGAACAACGGGAAACAACCAACCAGGATGCCCAATAACAAAATCGAAGTAGACAAGATTAAAACAAATCCTAAATGACAATCCTAGATCACAAGTCCCACATGCAAACACCGCCCCCGGCAACTACAGGCCAAACGACGGGACAAGACCAACCAGGATGTCAGAACACACTTGCCTGCAAAACGATAACCAGATGACCAATCCCACATGAAGCACCGCCATCCCTCCCTAAGATACACCAAACAACGGGACAAGGCCAACCGGAATCGAAGCAGACAAGATTCTCATTCACAAAACAAACATTCTACCATATCCATAGTAAAAAACGGAACCATTCAGTAAGCCCGCAAAACGCAACATCCCAACAATAGGGAAGATTAAGGAGAAGAAGAAAAAGATATACAACAGATTAAAAAATAGTCTCTTCCATAAGAAAAGACAAAGCCTGCTAGTACAGGCCCAACGCTCGCCGCATCATCAGCAAAAGCAGAGAGCTAGCAACGTCAGAGTATATATCATCACATGAATATGAGAGCGCAAAAGCGAAAAAAAGAAAAAAGAATGAATTCGTTTTTTTATATCTTCTTCCTTACAACTCCCCCTGTTCAGAACCTCTTGCGTACAAGGCCACCCACGTGGATGTAGGTTGAGCGGTGGCTGCCCCCACCCCCGTGTGTCATACCGACCCACTTGCACACAGCCAGAAGGCAAAGAGGCAAAGAAAAGAGGAAGGGAACAGCCAAATAATACAGGACAGGGGGCAACAAAACAAATCCCAGATGACACGTCCCACATGCAAGCACCGCCCCAACTCACAGGCCAAACGACGGGACGAGACCAACCAGGATATCAAAACATTCTTGTCTGCAAAGAAAACAAAAAGAAAGGCTCCGATCCCAGTGTGACAACCAAAAAGAAAGAGAAGACAATCCCGGATGACGATTCCCACATACAAGCACTGCCCTATACTCAAAAGGCCGAACAACGGCAAACAACCAACCAGGATGCAATATA